AACTCTACCGAAGGCTCGGAACATGTGCAAGCACGTGCTCCACCCCGAGAGGAAACGCCCCTAGCGCTACTACCCTCACCGACTCTACCCAGTGACATGGCATTTCCTCGCTCGCCCATTCCCCTGAGCTTCCTACCCGAGGTAACTCCACCTAGACGTGGAGACCTCACCTCCGAACCTCCGTCCGAGGAGTAGTCGGAGCATACTAGAAGTACCTCCGAATCATACTCCTGAACCGAGGCTACTACCCCCTTACCCTCAGTCTCCTCCTTCGCCCTCCGGGACCTACACTCCTTCTTATAATGTCCCTTCTTGCCGCAATACCAACACTCCACCTAGTCTTTGGCCTTCTTCTTCCCGCCACCCGATTTCTCGGGTTTGCCCTTGACCACTAATCCTTCCCTCGTACCCCGAGTAAGGGTACCCTGAGCTAGAAGCTCTAGCTCCTTCATCCTAGCTGCGGCCTTCACCTCCTCCACCGAGATTGTAGCTCGGGAATATTTCAGGACTTCCCTCAGCTGCTCATAAGCAGGAGGTAAGGAGTTCAGCAGATAAACTGCTTGATACTCCTCCTCTACCTTCACATTTAGGCTGTGAAGGTCGGACAATAGTTTCTGGAAAATGTCTAAATTCTCCTCTATTGTCCTAGAGCTGTCCATCCTAAACCCTGACACCCTCTGCATGAGGTACATCCTATTGGGGAGAGATTGCTCTATGTGCAACCGCTCTAGTTTCCTCCAGATTCCGAAGGCCGTCCTTTCGGATATGACCTTCCTTAGAACCTGATCCGCTAGAGCAAGCACAATGAGGTTCCTAGCCCTTCTACTCCTTTCTTGTCTCTCTTTGAGAGCCGGAGTGCCCGATCCCTTAGCCCCGGGTCCTAGTGACCCGGTGGAAAGAGATGTAAGACCTCCCGAATCCTCGGTTTCCCGAGATGGAGTTTGTGGGCTCCCCTCATCAGCAACCCCCATGTAGATGGATCATCCTCTAGTGTGTCCCCTAACCCTAAGATCTCTAAGCTAATGGACATCTTCTCCTTCCATAAGGAGAAGTCTCCCTTGCCGTCGAACTTCTCGACGTCAAGGCCGCGATACAGAGGGGCAGACATCACTAATAGGAAACCTAATCTCTAACCCGAGGATGCACTAGACCTACCCAGAACGAAAATAACCTGGGAATGACTAACCCGACCCTAGGAACACCGAAAACCAGACCTAAGGAGTAAGACCGATCCTAAGAGGACCTAAACCTAGGTATTTTTCAACCTAACAGACCTAATAGACTCTAAACCTGCCTACCTAAGATATGATTACGTCTAATCAGACCTACCCCAAGGCTAACACTGACCTAACCAACCTAGATCAGACCTAAAACCGAGTCTATTCTGTCCCCCTAAGTCCTAATCAGACCTAAATCAACCCAATATTGACTTACCTACCCCTGATCAGACTTGAATTAACCTAATCAGATCTAAACTAAGTCTAAACCGACCTAATTAAAACTGATCAGACCTAATCTAGCCTAAAATCAACCCTAACAGACCTGTCCCTATTGATTTTAACCCTAATACCGACTTCTCACTCACCTAGTTCAGCCAAATCCTCCTATTCAGGCCTAACCGGACAGAATTACCGGACTCTATGACTGAAGACATGTAACCAAAGTCTACCGCAGATCTAATCTGCCTTTACCTAGGATAGATCGACCTATACAGATCCTAAATACCCTATACCAGACAGAATGCCCTAAGAACCGGACTCTATCTAACCCAATCGAACCAATTAGACCTAAAACCGACCAATTTAAGTCCTAATCAGACAATCCTGACCCTAAACCGACCAATCTAGACATGTTCTAATCGATACAGACCCTAGACCAGACAAACTCAGCCCTATTTGGACAAATCAGACCCTAATCAGACCTAAACCGGCCCAATCTCAATCTAAATTGACCTAAACCGGACTCTATTGACCTAAACCGGTCCTAGATTGACCTAAACCGGTCTGGGTTATCCCGAACCGGACCTAAATTGACTCGAACCGGTCTGAACCGATCCAATTGACCCCAAACCGGACCTGAACCGGTCCAAGTGACCTGAACCGATCCGGTTTTCCTAACCCGGTCAACTGTTGACCAGAAATTGGTCAATGTTTGACCTAAACCCGACTAAACCGGTTCGATTTTGAATCGAGCCCGGTCTAATTAGACAATTCCGATTTAACCGGCTAAACCGGATTAAACCTGAAACCCTAATTTTCGGAAGCGTAGCTGCCGAGTTAACCCGGTCAACTCGGACGTTGACTCACCCCGGGAAATGACTCAGTCGTGACTCGAACGAGTCACGACCGAGATTTGCCCGAAACCACCGGTTTTCCCCCCCAGAACCCTAGACCTAACCAAATCGAGTAAGAACTCACCTCTTCGGAACCCTAACTCAGCTGATTTACTCAGTCCGAGTCAGATCCGGGAGAACCTACCTCTTTCCCTAATTTTCGGAAGCGTAGCCGCCGAGTTAACCCGGTCAACTCGGACGTTGACTCACCCCGGGAAATGACTCAGTTGTTTCACAACTGAAACACTCACAAAAAAACGTTAGAACGCTCAGATCTAAGGAGATGAACCTCGGACTTACCTCAAATCGCGTAACACCCCCGATTTCACCGAGCCTTGCCACGAACCGGGCTCCTGATACCACTTGTAGAGGATTGTCCTCTCGTAACCTCACCGATTCGTCTCCGATTCGCTCGTGTGTGCTCAAGAACAGAAAAGAAAAGGAGACACCGGAGTTACGAGTTCGGTATCGAGCTCTAACACTCGATACCTACGTCTCGGGAAGAGGAACAACGTTTGCTAGGGTTACAGAAAGAAAGCCGCCGGAGATCGACCGGAAAACCGATCCCGACACACGGAGGAACGAGAATCGCACCACCGAAAGAGAGAGAAAGTTCAAGACGGCAAAAAACAAGTCACTGCGCACAAATGCCCTAACCCTAGGTCAAATAACGTGACCTTACAAAAGACCATTTTGCCCCTCCGTGTTACCAAACCTTCTGACTCGAACCGAGGTTTCGGAAGCCTCCACTTCGCTCCAAAGGTTTGCTGAAGATATTCAACAGTTTGGCACTGAAGGGTGGTCCTTTGAACCATTTGGCATAGACATACCTCTTGTGTGATGAAGACCTAAATGGGCAAAGAAGGTATCGCGAGCAGCTGTGTCCTTTTGGAACTCCTGCACGGTTGAAAGCTTAACACGATGGGTCAAGTTTTCTAATAGAAAACTGCAGAATTAATGTCTAAGTCGCCAAACCAAAAGAGTGCTCAATTTAACAAGGAAAGTAGCAGCACAAAAAACAAACCCCCTGGCGGTAGCAAAGCAAATACTTCATAATTATCACTAAACAAATTCCAGCTCTCCACCCGTTTTGGTGCATCAAGGGCCTTGCTCTTGTGAATCTGATAAGTGTCCCACACTGGATGGTCGAACCTCCAATGTGGGACACTTATCAGAATCTCATCATATTCTTCTCCTTCAAATGACTGGAGCTCACTTTTCAAATCCCGCATTCTCTCGTCAAGTTCTAGGTCATATGAAGAGACAGACATGAGAAAACAATATAGGCTTTTGAAATAGCAGCAAAAGCTCAAAGATTGAAACATTATATCAAGAAATGGTATAACATTTGAGGATACTCCACCAGGAAAAGGAATCAGTGAGTCAATTTCATCTTAATTCTAGTCAAGATGAAGCATAAATATCATTGCTTCCCAGGTTTATTCACCTGGACTTCATCATCCTCATCAAACAGATTGGTTTAAGAAGGTAAGTGCCTACCATGTCAAGAGGCATTGAACATGTACAAATACGATAAAAACATTAATCGTGGAAGAACTGATCACCTTATGTATCTTCTGTGATTGTCCACGCAAATTTCAACATCAGATGCTTTGCATACAGTGGCTTCCCCATCTTATAAAATGCTACAAATTACTCAACGATGCATCAAATTAGAATCATCAAGAGGTTAATAATGTGATATATATATATACATATGTGTGTGTGTCTCCTCATACCTAAAATACTTTATGGATTTCCTGATTGAAGAATTTTGGTAGAAAGTCCTTTTGCTGTCAGGAAGAGAGAGCACTTGCTGAGAGATCTCTTTCATGCCATATTGTCATATCATATGTAAGCATGAAAGCACAGGAAGAAAATAGAATCACCTCTTTCAGATAAGAGATTTCTGAGTCGGACAAACCTCTCCAGCAAAAGAATTTTTGAAGTCAAGTCTCTTTCCTACGATTATTTCAAAAGAATTAAATGAAAGCAAGAGTTCACTGATATCCATATTTGGCTCCTTGGTTCAAAATAAAAATGCTGAATATATCCTCAAGATGAAGATATTTGACAAGGCTAGAGAAGACAAAGTCCGTCATATCTACCTTCATTTGCTGCAGAGTATAGACCATTTGCCTCATCCCTGATACCATTATACAAGACCACAAAATAAAATATTGATATGCAAGAGACCGGCAAGATGAGTATCAGGAAAGAACAATTGATCAGACGGGCAGCAACACTATCGTGCATCACATAAGATTCCAGAAACCATCCGGCCTGAAGGCTCTGATCTTCCTAATGCACCGAAACTAAAACAGGAAATTATTTAAACTGTTCTGGTGTTTATGCAAAAGACTGGATGTCGGAAATTTTCTCTGCGTGTTACTAAGCTTCTTTACATGTATATATATACAGCAAGGAATGAAAATAATAACTTGGGAAACAATCCGAGGATGAGCCTATACACCTAGGTTCCATAAAGCCAACAAGTAAACACAAAATGGAACATGTACATAGCTACTCAGAGTTGACTGCTAAACTTCAGCCAATGATAGTAAACTCAGGTTAAACCAGCTTTGTAAACCAAGGTTAATAATCCCCTCAATATGGAGATGGAGAATACAAATCTTGTATTCCCATCTTGAAGAGAAGATAGTGGAGTTGATCAGCAGGTAGTCGGGGAGATAGGATGGCCTACTGACGGGGACAGGAATGCAAACATAGAGTATGCAAGGAGGTTCAACCAAGGGTTCATGTCCCATATATCGGGTGGCAAGGGGACTCCAATGAGACCCGGTCCTATCGACGTCTATTTATTCAGCTTGATTGACGAGGATGCGAAAGCAGGAATAGGTTTGGTGAGGATGTCAGTAACTTGTTCCTTTGATGAAACATATACAGGCTTGATAAATCTGGAAGAAACATGATCAAGTATGAAATGACAGTCGATTTCCACGTGTTTGGTGCGTTCATGGTGAACGAAATTATTGGCTAGGTGAATTGATGATTGACTATCACAATAAATACTGATTTGAGTTGTAGAGGGAAAACACAGATCATGGAGAAGCTTAGATAACCATAGCAATTCGCAAGTGGTCTGGGATAGAGCTCGATATTTAGTTTCGGTACTGTTCTGGGATATTGTAGTTTGTTTCTTCGCCTTCCATGAAATCAGAGACTGTCCCAAGAGTATGCTGAAACCTGTAATTGACCTCCGAGAGTCGGGACAAACAGTCTAATCTGCATCGGAGAAAGCGGAGAGTGATAATGAGTCTATATAGAAGACCTTGAGATGGAGCATTTTTGAGATACCGCGATACGCAACAGTAAGATGCGCAGAACGAAGTTGTGCCATATAGTGACTGAGTTTTGTCACCGTATAGAAGATATCTGACCGGGTTACGGAAAGATAAACCAATTTTCCAATAAATTGTCTATAATAAATCGGATCAGAAACAAGATCTCTAGAATCTTGACTCAGTTTTTTCCTAGTATCCTGAGGAGTTGAAAGAAAACCATATTCCTCTAACTCCAGAGTATATTTTCGTTGACACAAATGTAAACCTGCAGAGGATCTAGCAAACTTGATGCCAAGAAAATACCTCAAAGGACCAAAGTCTTTGACCAGAAAGTTGGTCTGGATGTGGCAGGGTTTAGGGTTGGTCTCAATACCGTTATTGATGGGCCTTTGAGCTAACAAGGTGATGATGGCCCATAAGAAAAAGGACCACGTCATTACGATTCTCTTTTTCCCAAAATAATTGTTGATAGCATACATGATACATCCGTGAGGCCTTGTCCCCCTGTCACCGCTGACGTGTCCCTTTTTTGTCGTAAACAATAGCTACCTTTTTTTTTTTCTACATCTAACAACAATAAGTGGAAGAAATTCGTTTTTGAACCTCTTCATAAATTTTGTCATTGGCTTCGAAAGTCTTGTAACACTTTCATTTAGAGTAATGTTTATTGGGAGGTAGTAATGTCTAGATGGATTCTAATGTTTGAAACTGTTAGAAACGATTCTGGCTATCTGGGCATATCAATGAACATATAAACAAACCACACGGCCGAGAAGTGCAAAAACTCAAGATTCGTAAATGAGAGTAAAGCTTCTTTGCTTGTGCCTTTATTAGCTGTGTGGGGAAGAGAGAGAGAGAGAGTGGAAGATGGGTGGTGGCGAGATGCGATGGATGATGATGGGGTTGGTGGCTTTGGTGACGATGATGTGTGGGACATCGAGCGGCATCGGAGCGAACTGGGGCACTCAGAGCTCACACCCTCTGCCTCCGGACGTGGTGGTTCGGCTTCTCCGAGACAATGGTATTCAGAAAGTGAAGCTCTTCGACGCCGATTACGACACTCTAAGGGCTCTGGGCAAATCTGGCATCGAAGTCATGGTGGGTATCCCCAACGACATGCTCTCCTCTCTTGCCTCTAGCCTCAAAGCCGCCGAGAAATGGGTTTCCAAGAATGTTTCTACTCACCTCTCCACCGACACTGTCAACATCAGGTTAGGGTTCCTCTCCCGTGTTCTTAGGCCTCTTTAGTCTTAATGCTAGATTCCCATGTGTTCTTACTACTTATGGCTTTTTTGTGCGGGAATTAGCTTTACAACTCTTTTGGCCTCCACAACCACAAGTGTGTTAGTCTTTGGGGGAAGCTTAGTGCTTGGATCCTTTCGTGATGCTGAAATGTATATATTTTGACTCCCGATTCATCCTGGGTTTAGGTTGTCTTTAAGTTGATGGGATTACTGGGAAATGGAAAATGTAAACACTTTTAGTTTTAGCCGTTCCAGGAATCTCCAGTCTCTGATTCGTGTGTGGTGTTCCTCAGATATGTAGCTGTCGGCAATGAACCTTTCTTGGAAACATATAACGGAAGCTATCTCAAGACCACTTTCCCTGCCCTCCGCAACATCCAAATCGCCTTAGTCAAAGCTGGGCTACAGAACCAAGTGAAAGTGACGGTCCCCTTAAATGCTGATGTCTATGAGAGCTCCACTGGCCTCCCATCTGGTGGAGACTTCAGATCAGATATTCGTGATCTGATGATCACTATTGTGAAGTTCTTAAGTGACAATGGTGGCCCCTTCACCGTGAACATCTATCCTTTCATCAGTCTATACATTGACGCCAATTTCCCAGTGGAGTATGCTTTCTTTGATGGGAATTCCTCGCCTCTGAACGATGGTGGTACATATTACTATAACATGTTTGATGCCAACCACGACACTTTAGTTCATGCCCTACAGAAGAATGGATTTGGGAACATGCCTATTATAGTCGGGGAGATAGGATGGCCTACTGACGGGGACAGGAATGCAAACATAGAGTATGCAAGGAGGTTCAACCAAGGGTTCATGTCCCATATATCGGGTGGCAAGGGGACTCCAATGAGACCCGGTCCTATCGACGTCTATTTATTCAGCTTGATTGACGAGGATGCGAAAAGCATTCAGCCAGGCAACTTTGAACGCCACTGGGGAATATTCACGTACGACGGGAGACCAAAGTACCAGTTGAACCTTGGGACAACAAATTCAGGAGCTCTGATCCCTGCCAAAGGGGTAAGGTATCTGGAGCAGAAATGGTGTATAATGAAGCCTAACGCAAAGCTAGATGACCCGCAAGTGGCGCCGAGTGTGAGTTACGCATGTGGGCTTGGGGACTGCACCAGCCTTGGGTACGGTACATCTTGCGGGAATCTGGACGCTCGGGGGAACATTTCATATGCCTTCAACAGTTACTTTCAGATACAAGACCAGCAGGATAGTGCGTGTAAATTCCCAAACATATCAATGATAATCAAGACAGATCCGTCAAGAGGAAGCTGCAAGTTTCCGATTATGATAGAGCCTTATTACGGTGGAGCAGCAGCGGAGGGAGAAGGGGCGATGCTGCTCGCCATCAGCTTCTTAGTGGTTCAACTTAGTTGGTTGTAGGGTGCCAAAACCCTCTTTTCTCTTGTTAGGGGACATTTGCCTGGGGTTTTTTTTTTTTTGGGGGGGGGGGGGTTTT